AGCCCTGTATTGGATCAGATTAACTGTATAATCACCGAATTGTAATGTCACCTTTTGCCTGTGGTTTTTGGACAGACCTATAGACTGAAATAGAGTATAAAGCTTGTGAAGTTGTGTAGTCTGGAAATAGCTGTGGACGTTTAGGATCACTGGTCCAGGCTGTCTACTGGAAGAAGACAAAGCTTTGAGAACTTCATTTATATTTTTTTCCTTCCAAACTTTTATCCAGTGTACAAAAAGAAAAAGAAAAAAAAAAGGCCAAACTATAAAGTAACTAAACAATTAGAGGGGGGGAAAAGACCAGAGGTCAACTCCTTCTTTTTACAGGTGAAGAAACTGAGGCACCCAGTGAGGTTAAATAATATGGCCAGTGTCACAAGGCAGAAAATGGTAGAACCAGGATCTAAAGCCAGGGCTTCTGATTCCAAATTCAGTGCTACACTGTGAGGGGCTGCCTGTAATTGTTAGGGATGTTAAAATGTCTGCCTGATTCCATATTTATAAGAGTCCTTTTACAGAATTAAAATATGTCAGAGATCTCTGTAACTGTCAATAAGCCCCCTGGACTTGAGACTGAAGCTTCTCTGTGGCCTGTATATTCCTGTAGCCCTTCAGAGATTTGGGATGGGACTTCAAGTAATTCCTAATTTTACTTTAGCCATATGGCTTGGGCTCTTCCAGAAGGGTACCAATATATTGTGGGATATGGTTGCACTGACTATCTATTAGTTACCAGTTCATTAACAATGTATTAATTAACTAGACTGCTTAAATTGCTCTGATGATCTTATTCTGTTTTAACAAGAAAATTTATGATTAGAAAGTTCATAATTCATACTTTTTGGTCTGTCAAGTAAATTAGAAAAATCATACTAACTTAGGTATAAAAAAGATTACAAATATTTCTTAGAATGGTTTTGTATTTTGACAACTGCAAAGCATTATTTAACATTTATTGAGCACCAACAATGCGCTAGGCGCTGTACAGAACATTAGACATAGTACCTGCCCAGATGGCTTACAATCTAATCTAAACACATGAACTGTTTTGTATGTTGCTGTGAATTTGGTGTTTATGAAAATGAGGTACTAGCTGTATTTGAACAGTGCAGGGAAAAACTGAAAAGAATGTTTCTGTAGGTTTCCCTACATATCTCAACACTATTGCATGATATCTCTGCTGCCTCTTTTTCCATATATTTTCAAAACCTGCCTACTAATTTTATTTTTCAAATTCCATTATTTGTGAGATGGAAAAATGTCTATAAAGATAGAACTAAACTTGAATATTTTAGTTTGGTGTCTCTAGAAACACCACCATTTACTTGTCTTTCACTCTTAGTGGAGACCATCCCCCTCTGACACCAGCCTTGAAACTCTAGTGTTCTCATGATCTCTCCCACCTAGAAAAACCAGTTTTTAGGAAATTGAGGTATATTTACCATAACAGCTTAAAATGTCAACCCTCTCAGGATTTCAATGTAGCTCTTACGGTTAAATTTCAGGCATTGACTAGCAAGTCAGAGAGGTATATTTGAGATCAGTAGGCTTCTCAGTGCCTTTGAAATTATTGTGTGAAGAGAGTCACTATTTAAATATGCTAATTTTGACCATAACCTAATATTAATTCATGATATCATATGCTACTTACTTTTGTCTCCATAAAATAGCAGTAACAACAATAACAAAAAAAAACCCAATCTAGCAGTAAAAATTTATTTCCTTAAAATATTTGTCACATGCTAACTAATAAATATGTTGGCTGATAAATAAGCATTTCTACTTTTCCATTTCATAGTTGTAGAATTTTAGAGCTATCGGGAACTTAAAAGAGCATCTAGTCCAACCCCTCCATTTTACAGACAAGAAAACTGAGATCCAAAGATAGTTTTAGTGCTAAAGTCAGATGCTAATACTGTTATATTTGCTATATTAATAGAGTAAGTTTTGTGTAAGCTACTTTATGGAAATTGAAAATAAAAAAAATTCTGTGCTAAAAGTGATTTTTCCATTACTTTTTGGCCCTATCAGGGCAAGCTTTATGGAGAAAACGTGTTATCTGTGCTTACCTTGTTCTTATTTTGAAATCATAAGTTACTATTTAATTTCTTCATGAATTTTTATATGCTGAATTTCACTCAGGTTACAAAAATGCAAACATTGAAGTAGAACTAAGTTAAGTGTAACAAAATATTTTGAGAAAATAATGATATTATAATCTTATCATTTTTTCTTATTCTTGTTTCATTATTTCACTTCCTAATTAAAATAAACATTTTTCTAATGTATTTTTTTTCTGACATGTTCATGAATGATATATTGGAAGTTCAAGTAATTCCCTTTTATTTCAAATGCACTGCGTCAAGTGCACAACAGAACAAAGACAAGCCCACTTCCTTTTTCTTTTTTTCCATAATCCATGCCATTCTGGCAAAACAGATTAATAGGCATAATGGTATACTTTTACCTGAATTTATAGCCTGTGTTCCTATTTTCCAAACTGGGAAGAACTCCTGCTAGTTTTTCCCAATTATTGCCTTAACAACCTTAGGGTAAAACACAAGCTCCCAAATTCCTTACGTTGCAAACATAAATAAGTAAATATAATAAGAATGTTAATTGCTACATATGCTCATTAATATGAATGAGTTGCTTGAAAGACTAGGTAAAGATGTAGACAAAACAAAACAAGGATCCTCTGCGTCTCTTGCTTATATCTTTGATTAGCTATTTATGTGGGGGGGGGGAATCCGTTTACTTAGCTTTCCTTTTTCTGGAATCTTTGCTGAAAATTTAATCGGTGAATGACAATTAAGTGCCTACTTAGTCTCTCCAGAATGTACACCATAGCAAAACTTGTGATTTAATTAAAATTTTATGCTAATATGGGGAATAATTAAGCCATTAGTAGAGTTTAGCATAGAGCATTGGATGGGTTCAAAAACACAGCTGCCACACTCTAACCGTGTCAAGGATGGTACAATTTATTTGGACAGTTACATCAAGAAAGATCCCAAATTCAGTGAAATTCTAAAGACCATGAACCTTTATAAAGTGAGATGTCTGAGTGTAAGACTGCTTATAAGGGCCACATGTATACAGTAATACTGAACCATTTTTACATAGTTATGCCTTCATCTGAAAGCAAACTTCCTGCTAACCAATTTTTGTTTTATGTGCAACAGGCTCAGTTTTCCCACATTGGTGCTTCTCTTCATGCCAGAACTCCTTTTGTCTACAGAGTCCCTGAGGAGGCTAAAATGTTATTCCTAGTATTAAACATAGTTTATGGAATTCTTCCTCAGTTGCTGGCCTATCGATGTGTCTACAAACCAGAGTTTTTCTTGAAAACAAACACAGATGAGAAAGAGGAGTAAAAACCACTTCACATTTTTTGTTATAACTGGAATACTAATCTAAACTCTCCCTCAAAGTGTATTATTAGAATACACATAATTTTATTGCTCTACACTGTATGTGTAAATTGTACTATAACATTTGCAGATAAATTTGTTCTTTTTTGAAAAGGGAATACTAATTTGTCTAGGAAAAATGTTTAAACTGAGCGATTTAAAAATGTTTTCTAAATAATTTGTGAATAAACTTTTGGCATTTCCTGCTACTCAGTGATTATATTATTTCATTATTTTATTTGCACAAATTTAATTATTGAAACATCAACAGTTACTAGTATGAAACTGAACCTATGCTGAACTGCACTGAAACATAGAAATAAACCTACTTGGGAACAAAAGTGATCTGTATACATTTATCACTGATGAAAGAGAGTCTCCTCATAACAAACATATATTTGAGGGGGAAAAATTAACAATCAGGCTTGTATTTTGTAATACCAATCTCAATGTGAAATGCAAACCATTTCCTTTTAAAAAATGCTGTTTTAAACAGTGTTTTCTCAATTATAAAGATACTCTTTACAATGCTTTTGTTGATGTTTTTGTTTGGAAAAATCACCCCCAGAAGGACTTGCTAAATTTCTTCCCTTTATGAAGTGTCTCCATTTCTGTTTGTAATGAGAAGTTCTTCTGCTGTATTTCAATGTGTATTGGTATTGAAATAAAATGTTTTGGCCTATCTCATGAAAAGAAAATCTCTTCAGTTTTTATTGCAAACATGCCATGTATTTCTGCCCAACGTGGAAGGTTGTCCATAGTATTCACTTTTGTTTCTTTTTAAATTTCTTAAGTTTGTATTTTTGATTACAGTTATTATCTATACCACATTTATGTTTCAGTGTGAGCATATCCTATAATGAAGTGACATTTCTAATGGATTTTAATTTTTAATGTACCTTAATTAAAAGTGGGAAGTGATAAAAAGCTCTTAAAGAAACTTGGGATACCTTCCTCATCTACTTCCTCTGAAATCTTTTCTGTTTTGTATTCCTAAAGTGTGTATGTGAGCCTAGTGAAGAAGTCCAATTTTTTATTAATGAGAAAAAGGATCTAGACCAAAATATGGTAAAGAATCTCCATTTGAGTGTCTGGTTAATGATTACATCATACCTCCTAGTCCCCACCATCACTACTGTGTTCCTGATTTACCATTGGTATTTCTCCTTCCTTTAACTCTCTTCTTTACATAACCACTCTCCTCACCCCTCCAGAACCACCCTCCAGCCTCTTAAGCAGGATAAGAAAACCGAAAGAAAATAGGATCCAATCAGAGCACATGTGTAGTGACAGATATATGAAACTAAGAGTGCATTTGCTGTGGTAATATCTTACACATGCAGGTCATGCATCCATTTTTTTTTTCAGTATTTTCAAAACTAGTCTGAATATGTTTTAAGTAAATTAATAACTCTATTACCCAGAAAATGTACAAAAAACCTCACCTGCACTTAGTTCTATTGTCAACTTCTTGTTAACAATATTTTGCTTTAATACTTGAGTTACATTAATACCTCACATTATTACATATATGAAGCCAAATGACACTAGCTTAGTTGCTTGCAACCTCAATTCTTACTCCCAATACACATTCCAATAAATTTATTCTGTAAAAACAATACATTTTTTTTGTTTTTGATTTTTTTTTTACAGTAAACTTTTCAACTACAAACCTTGAATACGCGAAAGATGTTCCAAGGACAAGCATAACAAGGATTGAAAAACCAAACGGACTAAATATGTTCTCACAATATTAGCTGGCATAAAAATAAATAAAATTTTCTATTATCACAATTGCAACAATAATGTACACATAATGATTCTGGAATGATTATTAACTAGTCTAGCTCTATTTCCAAAAGAAAAGAGAAGAATTAAGTTCCTTTTTTTTTTAAGCCTTTTCAGTATTTTAAAGTCAGTGATTTGTTTTGGTTTCCCATAGGGCTGCTGTATCATAAACAGGCTTAAAAATGAAAGGTATCTGATACATGAGTAATTAGTTCAAGTCGTATTGGTATTGGAAAAAAAGTCCTTGCCTTAATCTAAAGGAACACAAAAGACTTTTACTAACGTCACACAGAGAAGCTAAGTGAATTTGTGTACGTAACAATGTGATTTTTTTGAGAAGTATTAGCTCTCAGCTAGCTATTTCTAATAAGAAATAGGTATTTTACAACATTATTGAATGTTCTGCACGTGGCCTCATAAGTCAAGAACAATTTTGCTTTCATTTTCAATCAATCAATTAACAAAGAATGGCCTTGTGGTAATTTACAATTCTATCTCTACGAATTAATCCCCAAATTCCATTATGAAGGGGGAATATCATTCCTAAACTTTATGCTGTTGGGCTCTTTTGTAAAAATGCTGATTTGAATTTAATTTAGTGGTGGGAGAGGGTGGGGTAGAAGTAAGAGGAGGATGATAAGAACTGCCCTTTCTATTGGTAAAACACATCCAGATGTACAACTCAGTGTAAAAATCTTCCTCATCACCATCATCAGTCCATGGTTAAGGGCAACTTCATGCAGCCAAATGAGAAAGTGAATCGATAACCCTTAGAAAAAACTAAAATGTCTTATTTTTTTGCAAACACAACAGAGAGGAATGTGAATAATGTGCATACAAACTGGGACTCTACTGATGGTAACAATGAGTATGTGTTGATTCATATCAAACCCGAGACAATCAAACATGTAACCTTCTTGTGGTTTCCCTTATTATTCAGTATTCATTATGTTGGTTAAGTCTGTAAAAAAGAAGAAAACGAACCATTAGGTAGCTATAAGGGTTTAATTTGTTGTGATACAAAAGTGAGATTCTAAATACTGCATTTAAACCTGACCTTTTAGATTTTGTTTATACTTAATACTGTAATATTCACAAATACTAAGAGGAAACAGCTTGTGTGGAGTATCTTCATATATATGTCTACATATATATATATAGATATAGATATAGATATATATACATACACATGAATACATATCTATTTGTACATACACATAGATCAGTACAAGATAAGGAATGCATAAGGAAACATTAGGAAGGTCACTATTCAAAGGAAAAAAATTTGGATTACAATTTGGAGGAGCACTCCAGGACAGCAGTGGAATTGAGCTTCTTGAGGGCAGAATTAGTTTGATTTTTGTCTTTCTACTCCCAGTGTTTTATTCAAAGTAGGTACTTAATACAGGATAATTGAACTGTGCAGGATTCAATGAAGGTAATTAAAATTCTGGAGCTTTCTAATTACTTGTTGGGCTTTATAGTAAGCAGAAACTGACATTCTCTGGTACAAAAGCATTCCAGGACAAGAAGTGTCAACATGAAAGGTGAGATGTTCAAAATGGTCAATTCACAACAAACAAGACTTTATTAGGCACTTACTATGTGCCAAACTGTGCTTAAGCATGGGGGATACAAAGGAAGGCAAAAAGTCCCTGCCCTGTAGGAGCTTACATTCCAATGGGGGAGACAGCATGTAAATAACTAGGTATATACCAGACAGACAAATAGATGTATACATATATATACACACATGTGAATATGTATGTATATATACATATGCATATACATATATACATGCACACAAACATGTACAAAGAGAGAGAATGAAAGGCAGTTTGAGAGGGGAAGCTGGGGGAACCACCAAAAGCCTCCTACAGAAGATGGGATTTGAGTTGAATCTGAAAAGAAGTCAGGGCAGCTACAAGGTAGAGGTGGGGGGAGGAGGTCCAAGGAATTCCTAGTTGAGGGAAGAGCCAATTCAACATCGTGGAGGCTGGAGATGATGATATGTTTAAGGAACTGTAAATGGGCCTACCTGTTGGATCACAGAATGCATGGAGGGGGGCAAAAGGTAAGAAGAATGAAAAGGTGGAAAGGGGAGAGACTTCTGGTCAGGTGAGGCAGGCAGTAAGGGCCTGAACTATGGTTGTGGCTGTGTATGTAGAGACAGAGAAATACATCTGAGAGATATAAAAGTAGAAACAAGAAGATCTAGCAATGGCCTGAATTTATGAGGTGTGTGAGAAGGAGCTGAAGATAACACTGAATTTGCAAGCCTGGATGGAGGACAACGGTATCCTCAACAGAAATAGGGAAGTTTGGAAGAGGGGAAGGGTCTGTGAGAAAGATAATGAATTGAAGGATATACACATTATTTTTGACAATCACTAAAACTTATAACATGTAGTTTTGAGAAACAGGAGAAAAAAGTTGAGGTCGTAGAAATATAAGTATCTTGCTTTTTCAAAATAGAATTAATAAAGATGAATTGGGGGGGAGAGTGCAGAAATCCACAATATAAACTTTTAAGAACTGACATGGAATTTAGAAATCAACTTTTTATAAGAGAAATACTTGTGATCCTTTCATATTTTGCCCAATTAAAAACTTTAATTTATACTATTTTAATAAAATCAGAATAATTTCCAAACGACTATTTTCTCTATCATTAGTAGAAATATACTCCCCCTATTGATGTGGTGCCTGGGTGCTTATGTTTGGGTGCTTGTACTTGGACCCTAATGTCTCCCTAGCCTCAGAAACACTGTTCCTGACAGTTTCTCCCCAGCCCAAGGACCCTGTGCTTAGCAGTTACTCATGAGTGGGTCCCAGCAAGACCCTTATCTCTCTCCCTGGTGCAGTTCCAAACAGCACTTGAAGGATTTATTAGTTTAAACTGACTTTGCACTGGGTCATAAAGACAGTCTTACCCACTACTATACTATCCTACTGCCCTACCTTATTATCTACATCCTGGGCTCCTCATTAACTGTATTCTAGACTTAAGACATATGTATACTCCCCATATCTATCTTGTCTAACAAGACACTGATTGGTGGCAGACTCGACAACTCTCAGTTACCCTGAACTCTAGTTGACTTAGTGACGTAGCAGGCCTAAAACCACACCTCCATGTGGCCCCCCTTGTGGGCTTTTCCTAGTGAACTCTGGGTAAAATGCCTGCACAGTGGGTACAAGAAGGGCATGTTCTTTTAAGAACTGACCACTCCTTAACCACTCCCTCATCCCGCCCTGAATCACCTAGTTAGCACATGTTTTATTGTATTTTATCCTATATAAACTTTAACTGTACATCTAAGGTTGCAGAATCCTTTAAGAATCCTTGCCTGCTGAAAAGCGTAACAATAAACTTAGCCACCTTGGCTTAAAGAATGCTTGAGTCTGTGAATTCATTCCAGATGACCCATGTACTTCAGGCTTTGAGGGGTCACAACCTCTCAACTTCTCAGCCCGCAACACTATGGCTGTGTTTTCACATGAAAAGTGTATTGGAGAGCCCAGGCGATTAGGTGGCTAATTCAATCACCAAAGCCCTTTTGCCAAAAAACATTTACCTGCATAATTACTTCAGCTCTTCATTACACAAGATACATGTAGCTACAGCCTATGAAATCTTTCCATTTGAAAATAACCTTAGGAATAAGGGGGAAAAGTTATGAAATTTCCTTTTCCCTTAGGGCCACAGTGGGTGCATCTCCTAGCTTCCTTTCATCTATACCTGGGCAGGTGGGGGAGGGGGGAAGGAATATCAAATAATAGCACCCACAGTCTGTGATTTTTCATGATACAGACAACTACTTATTTATTAGTGAACAAAAATAGTAGAGATAAGATTAGGCTTACAGGTACTTTGGAAGTTTTGCCTTTGGGAGGATATGACTACTAAATTTTCTTCATTCAAGGAAGGATACATATATATATTTATATATATAAATCATTAAAATAATTGCATTGCCATAGCAAAAAATTCGTCTCCTGGTGGCTAAGGTACTGGTGACAGGCCTTTCTCAACACCTTCTGTAGGCTGGTTCTTGGAAAGCTGACAGGGTCTATCACCAGGGCACTTTGAAGCCCTTATGGAACAGCAGAACCTGTCAGAAATTGGTCTCTGCTGGCATTGCTTCCCAGAACTTAGAGCCACCTCCATGGTATGATGAGGAACTGGGGAGTAAGACTTAAGATAACTACAAATTATTAATCAACCAAAGCGAATTTATTTAATAATAATTTCTGAGACAACCTTTGTGAGAAGAGCAAAAAAGTATATGGACACAGATGCAAAGAAAGCTGTGTTAATGTTTAAATTTTTAATTGAAGCCCTGGAAAGCCCTGGAATCATATCATCCTATGGCCTTCTAACGAAATATTACTATTTAACATAAAATGACAACAGTAGTAGTAGTCTTAACCACTTCAAGACAATGCATTTGTCCATGAGAAGCTCAACGTGTATAGCAGATTTGGCATTCTACTTGAGGTCATGAAGGCCTAAATTTGAATCTTGCCTCAGACAGTTACAAGCTGTGTGATACTAAGTCATTTAACAGCTCTGGGTTTCAGTTTCTTCATCTCTAAAATGAGGAGGTTGAACTTAATGACCTCTAAGGTCCCTTTCTAAAGTAGAAAGTCTGACCATGTCACCACCCCTGCTCAATAAACTCCAGAGAATCCCTATCACCTGAGATTAAAAATAAAATCCTCCAATTGGTATTTGAACCCTTCATATAACCTTTCTTCCCCCCCCTACTTTTCCAGTCTTTTTATACCTTACCTCCCCTGCACCTTGAATAAGACACTCCATCTCCTAAGACCAACCATTTTCCCTAGAATTCCTCCATGTCTGGAATTCTCTCCTTCCTTGTCTCTGTCTCCTGACTTCCCTGGCTTCTTTCAAGTCCCAGGTAAAACCCCATCTTCAACAGGAAGCCTTTTCCAGTCCCCTTTAATTCTAGTTGACTTTATTCTGTCGATGTTTTCCAATTTATCCTGTATGTAGCTTGCTTGTACCTATCTGTTTTGCATGTCATTCCCCCCTGTTAGACTATGAACTCCCTGAGAGGAAGGACTGTCTTTTATCTTTTTTTTAATATCCCCAGAGTTCACAGCATCTGGCACATAGTAGCTGTTTAGTAAATCTTTATTGAACTGGCCTTCCAGCTCTCTATGATCCTATGATCTTATGTGCTTACCAAAATATTATGCACAAATAGAGGTTTTATACATTTAAAAATCTAACCTTTGAAAGTGTGGCTGAATTAAGGGTTTATTTCTGTGCTACCATCAATCTATCATGTGCAATAAATGTAGCTAATTCAGAATAATGGGGGGCAGTTTGATCATGAAACTATGAACTACATAATATTTTACTGTACATATGTGACTTTCACATACAGAAAACAAAATAATATATAATAGGCACTCATAAGTAAGTTAAATAAAAACTGTCATTCAAAACAAGCCTATTTTATACTTCAGTATTTCAGAGGATTTGTGATTTTCATACCCCTTCCTCTACTGCAAGGCATAATAACAGCTAGTATTTATATAGTACCTACTATGTCCTAGGCACTATACTAAGAACTTTATAAGTATTTCATTTGTTCCTCACAACCCTGAGAGCTTGGTGCTATTATTAACCTTATTTTATAGATAAAGAAACTGAGGCAGGCAGAAGTTAAGTGACTTGCTCAGGGAGCACACACCTATTAAATGTCTGAGACTAGATTTGAATTCAGGAAGATGAGTCTTCAATCCACTGGCTCTACCCATTAGCATTAATATGATAAAGGTTCCTTCCAGCTCTAAATATACAATCTTATGATTCTCTTGTAGATATTCTCCAGTTCCTCAATTTCTGTCCTAAAATTTTGTATCCAGAACTGGACACAACACTCCAGATGGTATGTTCAGTGCGGAGTACACTCAATGGGCTAATCC